CTCTGCCTCTCTGCCTCTGCCTCTCTGCCTCTGCCCCTCTGCCTCTGCCCCTCTGCCTCTCTGCCTCTGCCTCTGCCTCTCTCTCTGCCTCTGCCTCTCCGCCTCTGCCTCTGCCTCTCTGCCTCTCTGCCTCTCTGCCTCTGCCTCTCTGCCTCTGCCCCTCTGCCTCTGCCCCTCTGCCTCTCTGCCTCTGCCTCTGCCTCTGCCTCCTGAAAGCCCAGTCAGAACACAGTTCTTAAGAATTGGTTCTCTCGTTCCACCATGTGGGTCCTGGGAATCAAACTTGGCATCAAGTGGCACCGTGTACCCACTGACCCATCCCATTGGCCCTACTGTAACATTGTTAAACAATACAAAACAAGTGGGCAGGATGTAACAGTAGGCTCTGGACAGTCAATGTGGAGCTGCTCCATATTTTCCAGAGACAGAAGTAGGGTGTGGGAATCGGTTTTAGGAAGCTGGCATCCGTCGTTTCAGCTGTTACTGAATTGTGATACTAGGTGTGGCACTTTTAGTGCTACTCCATGAAGTGCAGGGAAGGAGCAGGAAGTAGTCTGAGGGGACCCTGAGGAAGGGTGAGCAGGGGTCCACTGCTAGGCTTTGCATACCAGACTAAAGTATGGGCCTTGGGAGGAATAAGCAAAGATCTCATTCACATCGGCATCTTTGGAAGAGGCTTTGGACTGCTTTGGAAGAGGCTTTGCACCAGTCTTCTGAAGTTTGGACCCTTTTCTTCAGGGTACCATGGAGATGGAAGGAATGGCAAGCAATGTGAAAGAAATGAAGCTGATAGAATTTGGTCATGAACTTGAAATTGTGGGATGACAGAGAGTGAGAGCATCTAGGATGACTCAGCCAGTGCCACCAAAATAAGGAATGCAGCAAGAGGAAGAGGAGAGTTTCATAGGATTGGAAATAAGATCCCTGTGGATTACGCAGCTGGGTGTCGACTTTAAGCAGCTGGGTGGTTTACAAGGACTCCAAAAATAATGAAAAACTAAGCCAGGTGGTGGTGGAGCTCACCTTTGTTTAATTCAGTTCTCAGGAGCTAGAGGCCAGCCTGATCTACAGAGTGAGGTCCAGGACACCCAGGGATACACCAAGAAACACTGTCTTGAAAAAAAAAAAAAAAAAAAAAAAACTGGCTTGAGAGACAGCTTCACTAAGTCAAAGTTACTTAACTTCACTAAGTTAAGGCCACTGGATGTTCTTCCAGAGGACCTGGCTTCAAGTCCCAGGGCCTATTACGGCAGTTTACAACTGTCTGTAACTCCAGTTCCAGGGGATCCGACACCCTCACACAGACCTGCGGCCAAAACACCAATGCACATAAAATAAAAATAAATAAATAAATCATTAAAAAAGAAAATATCAAACAAACAAACAGAATGAAAAGCTAATCCCAGCACTTGGGAGGTAGAGGCAGGCGGATCTCTGTGAGTTCAAGGCCAGACTAGTCTACAAGAGCTAGTTCCAGGACAGCCTCCAAAGCCACAGAGAAACCCTGTCTCGAAACCCCACCAAAAAAAAAAAAAAAAAGGTCAAGGCAGAGAGAGGTATGGTGTGTATCCCCATTAGGACATCCTTGTTGGGCTGGGGAGGTGCCTCTGTACAGGTTAAGGATAGGTTAGAGTTAAATATCCCTCCTAATAAATGATAAAATGTATCTGTATCAGGCTGATAGAGCAGTCTTGGTTAAAACCTGGGACATAAAGGTTTCTTTTGTAAGAAGTCCGCAGGAATGTGACTGGAGACATTCTTCCTGTGGCAGAAATAATTAATTGTCTCCACCCCCACCCCTCTGTAACCATTTTTTTTTCCTTTTTAATAGTGAAAGGCTACCTGATTTGTAGCCGAACAAACAGACTTCACAAAGATAAAGAAGAGGAAACATTTCTAAACCACACCACCACCACCACCACCACCACCACCCTGTAGCTACATATAGCCACATAGCTAGGTTTTGGCCATGAGATAAAAAGGAGCCCCAGGGTTGCCTGATTTTTTCACCCATGGAGTTACAGGCATGCGTGGCCATACTTTGACTGTTACTCAAGTACTAGGATCCAATCTCTGGCCTTCATAATTGCACATCTGTTTTGAAAAAAACATATTATATTGTATGTTGTATAAATTTCTGCGCCTGTGGGGGGTGGGGTTGTGGATGTGCCATAGCAGGCATGTGGAGGTCAGACAACAATTTATGGAAGTCAGCTGACTCCTATTTTATTAGTACTGAGCACTGAATTGGGGGCATCAGGCTTGGTAGCAGACACCTTAAATTTCAGTGGACCATCTCAGTGGGCCTCAGCAAGCACTCCTAAACACTGAGACATCCCTCCAGTCCTAGGGCCCTTTTCGGTGAATGTATGTTTTTGGTGTTTTGGTTTGGATTTTTCAAGACAGGGTTTCTCGTGAAGCCCTGGTTGTCCTGGAATGCCTTTAATCCCTGTACTCAGGAGATAGAGGCAGGCAAATCTGTTTGAGTTAGAATCAGCCTGATCTACATAGTGAGTTCCAGGTCAGCTAAGGGAGACCCTGTATTTAGGGGAAGAAAAAAAAAGTTTTATGAAGTTGGGCCTTGGTGGCGCATGCCTTTAGTCCCAGCACTCGGGAGGCAGAGACAGGTGGATGGATCTCTGTGAGTTCGAGGCCAGCCTGGTCTACAAATGGAGTTCCAGGATAGGCTCCAAAGCAATACAGAGAAACTCTGTCTCAAAAAAAAAAAAAACAAAACAAAACAAAAAAAAGTTTTAAGAAGAAATTCATTTGTAAAATTAACTTGTAGGCCTATTTATCTCAGTATTTCTCAAATTTAAAATTGTATGAAGATATAGATTTGATCTTCAGGACTGTTAAACATTGTAAGTGGTATTGTACAATCAGTGATCCCCACTTTTTTATCTGAGGGACTCCCTGTCAGTTTGATTAGAAGCCCAGCAAGAGCATTTTTAGCCCTTTTGTGGAATTTAATCTTTCTCTTTCATTACCACTTAAGCGACACACCAAGAGAATCCCTTCCTCATTCTCCTCACACTGGGTTTCCCAGCACTTCCTGCACTCAGCATTTCTCAAAAGCAGAAAAACAGCGGGCAAGCTTGATCTGGCCCTTTAATGTAGCCTTCTGGAAAACAGGCAATATAGCTATTATGGTCTAGATCTTTAAATGTATTTAATATGATTAAGATACTACCTTCACTTAAAATAGTCTCTTAGTCATTCAGACAAAAAAAGTGCTTTTGTGGCAATGTATTCAATACCTCTTGTTCTTTTGTTTCTTTTAAGACAAGAGCCTTTAAACTCACAATCTGCTTCAGCTTCCCTTCCAAGCCTGTGTCATCATACCTGGCTTTCCTAGACTCTTAATATTGCTCAGGCCAGGCGGTGGTGGCGCACTCCTTTAATCCCCAGCACTCAGGAGGCAGAGGCTCGGAGACCTCTGAGAGTTGGGGGCCAGCCTGGCCTACAAAGCAAGTTCCGGAACAGCCAGGACTGTTACACAGAGAAAGCCTGTCTGGAAAAACAAAACAAAATAGTAATAAAATAATAAACCTCCCCAAAGCAGAAATGCATTAATAGTAAATAATTCTAAACGTTTACATGAACATAAACCTAAATCTATAAATTTAAAATACCAATTTTATAATAAATAAACTGTATATTGATGAGGCCTAGTACTTAGAAATCTTACAGTCATTTTGATCCCTATAGTCTAATGGAAAAGTCACTGACCTTTCCTGATTTGATTTCCTCCATTTATGGCTGTGTGCCATCAGATAAGTGAGAGACTTAATTTATTCTAGAACTCATGGCAGAATCACTTGTTGACTCTGTGCCCTTCACCACACTAGACTCTACAAATAATGCAAGGCAGTGCTAAGAATGGACGATGCTTTGGAGGCTTGCAGTGGCACCCAAAAGATAAATAATCCACTGGGCTGCATGCCTGCTGCAGAACTCTCCAGTAGCTACTCAAGAGCTTA